GGGAGCTCGGCCCTCAGAGGGGCTCAGCTGCCGCCTCCAGCTCCCGGGCTTTCCCCTTCCTTTGCTTTTTTTGCCTTTTTTTTCCTTTAATTTTTTTTTTTTTTGCTGTCCCCCCCCTTCCCTTCCCTCTCAGGGCTGGAAGCAGGATCCCTGAAACTGCTATGCCAACAGAACTCTGCCGGGCCGTGAGAATGCACGCCATCTCCGACCTCCACTCCTCCCTCACCCTGCGGCTCCTCAACAAGGGGCCCGAGTACCTCCGCAAGCAGATGGAGGCAGGCAAACCAGGCAGGAAAAGCGCGGTGGAGAGGCTGGCAGCCGATAAGGCCAAGTACGTCAAAAGCCAGCAGGTCATCAGCACCAAGCAAGAACCCGTCATCGTCCTTAGCTCAGCCTCGGAGAGCAGCAGCGAGACCTGTTCGGTGGAGAGCAAAAAAATCGGCAGGGACTTCGGCAGAGGGAAGCCCCTGGAGCTGGCGAAGGCGGTGTACTCCTGCCGTGCCCCCCTGCAGCACGGCCCCCCCATCGCTAGGCGCAGCACGCCCAAGAGGCAGATGCGACCGGATTCCCTGGTGATTTACCGCCAGAAATGCGACTTTGGGAGAGGTCAAAGCCAGGACGGCTCACGGGGAAGCTTGGTGAGGAGGATCTTCCAAGGGTCCCTAAAGGAGAAGCAGTTGGTTTCCCCTGAGATGCCCAGAGTCATGGAGGACACCGCAGCCACCGAGAGCAAAGAGCCTCTCTCGGCGAAAGACGGTGACCATGAGCCGAGCAACCACGGAGCGGAGCAAAGCGTCGCTGTGAGCACCGAAGCCCCAGGGGTGTGTACAAAAGAGCGTGAGAGACCCTCAAAACCGAGTATACCTCCTGAGGAGGTCAGGGAGGTGAGGAGGAGAGGTCTCCATCGCTCCCAGTCGGACATCAGCTCTCGCTACTCCAAGTCCTTCTCTGAGTCTGATACATTTTTCAAGTACTGTGGCCTGGAGCAGGAGGTGATCGAGGATCTTGGGAGAGAGAACTTTTCCGTGATGTCCGACAACGTCTCCTTCAAGATCCGCAGCATCAGCGTGGCAACGTCCGAGAGCGACTTCACAAGGCACAGCGGGGACGAAGGGCTGCTGGAAGATGAACTCACGGAGCAGGTCCCAAGCAGCACCTCCGTGATCGAGCGCAACGCTCGGATAATCAAATGGCTGTACACGTGTAAGAAAGCCAAGGAGACTAACAAGGTGATCCAGGAACAGGCATGATGGCTTCTTTCAGCGTGCGTTGCAGCCTGGTGAGCTCAAGGTGTGTGCAAAGCCTCGCCCTGTCAATTTATGTATTTCTCTTTCCTCTTTAGCAAGCGGTTGGCTTGTCTTAGTTTAGTTTAATCTTTTCATGAAGGGCTGAAGGAAAATGTTTTTTGTATACTACGTGCTCTGGTATGGCCCTTTTGCAAAGCAGAAACCCGTGTCGTTACAAAAACCAAAATACAAACAAATAAATATGTGCAGCTTGCCAGATTTAGATCAGACCCCCCGCATGAAATTAAAGAGTCAGTGTCTATGAGGGATAGCTGCCCTTTACAGATTCCTGCTTTGTAAATAGCTGGTTTTCTCTAATTTCTGCTATATTAAATGCTAGAAAAAAAACTTAGAAAAGTATTCAACCCTTAATTACAGTTGCTTGGATAACAGACTGAACTGAAACTATTACTAACTGGGAGTACTCTGTATTTATACTGTACTGCTGAAACTATTGCTAATTAGGAGTACACTGTATTTATACTATATTGCTACCGTCTTCTCCTCCTTACTCTCCCTGACTCGCTCTCCCTTCTCCTTATACATAGGCAACCCCAAGTATCAGGAAAGCAACGCAGTCAGTGCTCCTGCTAGCAATCTTATTTCTCCCACCGCTTTCTGTTGCGACCATAAAAGTTTGCTCCAGGTGACCCCCTAGCATTTCACAGGCTTTGAGTTTTCCGTCCTGTTTGACTGTAGTAGATTTGGCTCCTCTGCAGTGGGTTTTACCATGCGGTTTGGCACTGGTAGCTGGAAATCGGTTGTGCGGTTTGCCTTGGTTAGAGGGGCACTGCACTGTTTTAAGCTAAAGATAATTAATACAAATATGTGGCATCTAGGCTTGGAAATCAATGACTTCACAGACAGAACAAATTTAGCCCTGGTAAAAGCCAGTATCCTGGTTTTAATAAAAGCAGTGTTTATTTTGCATCTGATCTCCTGAAAAAGAACTATATTCATGGGGCCTTTGGTGTTGATAATCTAGTAGATAACAGGTTTTTTCTCCTTCCAATACATGAAGCCCTTAGGATAAGTACCGCAGCCTACAGTGTGGTATTTAAAAATTGCATGAGTAGGTCTTGATATGAAGGATTACGTGTATATTTTCTGACAGTTCGTAATTGGTGCGTGAGAAGAACATCACTTAGTGTAGATACAGCTGTTGATAGAGCATGTGGGCCTTATGAACGGGAGAAATTTAATGTTCGAGCCTCTTTCCTCTCTGGATGTGGGGCTGTCACTTCTGATTCCTTTAATTTATATAATGCAAAAATCCATTTGCTTACTTGAAATTGGTTTTAATTATGTGAAATTTGGATCACACTTAAAATTTGAATTTTTCTCAAAAGCCTGTTTTCTTCCTGCAAGTTGAGAGAGGAGGAAGGGGGGGAGAGAGAGAGAGAGCCATTTTCACACAAGCGTTTCAAGCCCTTGTAGGTAAGAACGGTTGTCAGGTATCCGGCTGACAACTTAAAGAAGTGTTGTTACGTGACAGATCCTTTCCCAAATTACCTTAGAGAGAAGAAAGGGCTCTCCTGAGCTAATCGTTTCTCCTTGCTCATCCTTCTGCGATAAAAGGCCAGGGAGAGACACAAAACAAAATGATGCAAGTGGCGGTTTGTGAAGCTCGTTGCAGCTGCCGACCTTGCTAAACGCAGAGGATGGGGAGCAGATTTCACCGCAAGCAGGAGCCACTTAACAAAACCAACCACATTTCCATGAAGGAAAACCAAATAAAAGCCTGTTTGCTCCTGAATGCCCATGCCAGGGGTAGGATCCAGGGCCAGAACCGTGGTCGTCACTGCAGAACCTGCTCAGGATGAAGCAGTTGTCCTTTTCCCCATCCATTTGCACGGGGCTAAGCATGTCCAGCGCTGCAGCTGAGACAGGAGATGCTGGTGCCCACCCGAGGGAGCACACAGTCTGCAGAGGAGGTGCTTCACCAGGCCAAAAGCCAGGGCAGGAGCGGGGGGAAGCTCTTTTCCAGGCGCTGAGCCAGTGTAACCTCACATGGGCTTGGTCAATGGCTTCTTTTTTTTTAACATCTAAGACAAAATGACAGTTCGTAGCACATAGCCTAACAGGGTGGTGAAAAGACCTCCATGAAGGAAACTGCAAGTTTCTTCAAGTCTGTGGTCATTCTGCCATAATTTTAATACCGAGAACAAGGGAGTGCTTTACACTGGCAGCAACTTCCTTTGGCACCAAAATTTTTGGCAGCCTAGGAAACACTAATCTGTAGGGCCCGTATTATAAACCTAATTTTAAGCACACTAGGGTTGAGTCTCAGCTGATAGACCTCAGTAGTAGGGCTATGATTGCTTTCAGGGTAATTTCTGAAAACTGAGAACGTACTTACCGGTTAGGCCATAGAACTAGGAAGTTCAAAAGGTCAGCTAAAAATACCTGTACACAGCACCCAGAATAAAGAAGAGTCATCAGGAGCTACCATAAGTTAAATATTACATTTTCTGGGCAGAATAGAAGCTGAGAGTTGTTATTACCACGTGATTGCAAGATGAGTCCTGTAGTTCTGATCCAATATTCTTCTTTTCTGTCGGTCCTACGCTTTCTGTGACAATGCAGCATCAAGTTAGATATCTATGTGTTTTCACTATGTGCATATATTTGGCTCTGTTTAGTTTGCTTACCGGGTATTAATGGGCAGCGGACTCTTGTGCTGTATGGGGGAGCAATGTGTTCTCCCTGGCACTCCCAGGCACATCCTTGAAGGTTCCTCGTTTTTACACAGAGGCTTGAAAACTGTTGCACCTTCTTTGGAAAAAGAGGCAGAAACCTGTTTTCTAAAATCCAGCATTCATGACGTGTAAAACACCCTTCAAGAGCTGCAGGGCTTTTATGGGCCATGATCATCCCATTCATATTTTATGTTCTGTGTTTAATTTTTCATGAGCTCTCTGGGACCTGGTGGGGCACTGTGTAAATAAAACAGTTATTTGAAGGATCAGGTTCCCTAATAAGTTTCATCAGAGTGATGATTGCAGAGTCTGAGCATGGGTTGTGAGCTTCAGAAAACTGAGGTCCTCAGCAAGATGGGCATTGCTGCTTCTTGGTGGGACGTTGCCTCAATTCACCTCTGCAGTTCAGCTCCTTTCACTGTCAGTCCTGACAGGCTCTAAGGAGGGGGCTTACGCTGTGTCCTCCTTCCTGGGTTGAATCAAGATTATTCAGCCTTGACTTTCAGCACCACTCTTAAATGGATGTTCATTATTCAAGTGGAAATCTCCTGGGAGGGGAATTTACTGTGTTGGCAATAGCCATAAGCAGCTGAGTAAAAGCTTTAGAATATCACCTTATGCTTGTGTTATGTGATGTGATAAATAATAAATGACACTTTTTTTTCCCCTCTTTCTTCAGAATCCTTGACTTGGAAGTTGAACAAAACCAGACACAGGAAGAAACTCTTCCCTCATCTGGCTCATGACTACTTTGTCCAAGTTTAGTATTTTATTATTACCTCCTGCCCTCGCCCCCATCCCCTGGCAGCCTCCCTCTTGTCACAAGCACAGGAGTGTCCAAGGGCGCAATGGCAAGCGGAGATTGTGAACTGTGCCCCGGCGAGGCAGCGGGAAATGAAAGCTCCTGGAAAAGCGAAGCATGGCAGCAGCTGCCATCTGCGATAATATTCAGCGTCAGCTCACCGCCCCAGGATGCCATTCCGGGCTGTGACAGAAGGTCTGTGTTGTTGCACTCGTCTCTTTCCAGCAATTAATTTCTTGATGGGGATGGGGGGAGAAAGTGGGAATGAAGTGGCAATGAACTCTGGGTCAGGCGCTTCCTTGCAGGCAGACAGGCTCCACCCGGACGTTCAAAGGCTCTGTCTTACCAGGGCTGTTTGACCAGGGCTCATCCTGACATCATTAGACGTTATTTGCTTGGCTAGTGAGGACTGTGGCAGCTTTATCTGGGATACTTGGCAAACGTTGTAAGCTAACTCCCTGCCAAGGCGCTCTTTCTCTGAGGGTATTCAAACCACATTGGAGTACCTTGTATCCATCTAGTTTGCTCTGTCACACAGCTTCCTCAGCCAGTGGGGAGGAATACCCTTTAAAGCCCTGCCCAAATATTTTCAGGAGCGTGGTTCCAAGAAACGAGTAGTCAAAAACGAGGGAGTGTTTTGCATTGTTACTGCCTTGCAGCAGAACGGTACAATTCACATGTACACAGGCTCCTCCACTTTGTTTGCAATATGTCTCCGACTGACATTGCAAACATTGCAAGCTTTGGCAGCTTGTGATTTAACACCTTTAATTTTATGCACTGTGAGTGAGCAGTGAGTGTACAGGATCATGCTAGGAAACTATCCCAGGCTACGTAAGGCCACACTTGCCTAGCGTGGGTCTGGAGTAGGGCTGTGCTTGGGATGTACAGGATGGCATCCCTGCCCTGCAAGGCAAGAAGGCGTGTTAGGGCACAGCCGTGCCAGGTAAATGTCCTGATGGGATGAGACACCCAGTGTAGACAGCACCTTAATATCATCAATAAAATGCTTCATTTAGACAGGCCAACCTAAATGTATTTTAAAAGCTGATAAAAAGTACTTTAGATCATCAGTGTAGTGAATGAGACCTCTACAGTAACTCATGGAATTTGCTGGCTGTGCCTCAAACCCTTAGCCCATTCTGTCATTGCTTGCTAGAACATGTCTTGCACCAAAGCATTTATTTGTGGACATTGCAAACCACAAAATAATGAAAAAAAAAACCAAACCAAAAAAAACAATCAAAGCCAAAGCCAGTTCCCCTTTCAGTCTCACCAATGCCCATCTGTGATAGCTGCCCCGCTGGCATAATGGCAACTTGACCCAAGGGTCCTGCAGAGCTTAAAAGTTTATTTTGTGTTCCCATGGACGTGGTGTCCTGGTGTCCAGCTTACCTAGCCACCAGACCTGCAGCATAAGGAGTCCAGAAACACCAGCTTCCATTCTCCGCATTCCTCCTGCC